GGGAGCAGCTGGGCGAGTGAGGGTCTCATTACCAAGGACACTGGGAACTGTGGTCTGGGGTGGTGGCAGGTGTGCGCTGGGTTTCAGGTATGTGGCCAACACACCTGCCCACCCGCACTCACACTTTGGCCTCCACTGGCTTCACAGCTCCTGCCTCCTTGTTCTTGCTGGTTTTACTGCCTCACCTTTGGCTGTTCTTTCTTGCCTTTCTGTTCTGGCATTCTGCAGGGATGAGTCCCTTCCTCTCAAGCGCAGTCTACTCTCGTGGCTTTTGGTGGGACTAATGAGTAAAGCTCCCAAACCCACATTTCTGAGTTAGCTAGAACATTGAAGACAAAACAGAACGAAGCAAAAAAAACCCCACACAGCTGTCTCAGCCTCGATTCCAATGTTCGAAGATGACATGATGTCCAGAAGATAGCGACGTTTGGGAACTCTGATTTGGGTTCTGGGATGTCAACAGAGTAGGCCTGGAGCTGGGCTTTTCTCCTGGGAGGTGAGGGTGCTCAAAGAGCAGACTGGCTCTCCCCCAGCTGTCACCCACTGAGCAGCCATTGTGGGTGACAGACGCTTGCCTCACAGCCGTCCGATTCTGATTCAGCATCTCAGTATCTTTTGCATATCGGCTGACAAACAGGCCACAGCCTGGTGTCCATTTGAAAACCTCAGGAGGACTCTTCATAAATGCAGGCAAGAATAAGCACAGTGTTTCCACAGCCAGGCTAGAGAACCTACACATTTATCACTCTGGGTTTCCTCCTCCGCTGGGAGGAGCTGGTCCTTGTGGGAGAGGACGGGAGTTCGCCGCTCCCAGCTGTGTCCTGTGTGTGTGCGCGTGTCCTGTATGTGTTCGTGTGTGTGTGTGTGTGTGTGTGTGTGTGTGTGTCTGGCAGGCAAGCCAGTGCTGTTGATATTCTTGAAGCTTTCCAGCTGGTTTGATTTGCCATGGTCACTACACTTAGCTAATTACCTTAAAATTTGGATTTCATTTTTGGATGGAGACCAACAGAAAATGGATTTTCCTCCAATTTGAAATATTTGTGAGCTTTGACGTGAAAACAAAAAAGTACAATTCCAAAATTGCTACGTACTAAGTCAGTAACATTCAGGGATATGTTGAAGCAGCATCTCTCTCTGTTCTTGGTTTCTAGGAGCTGCGTCATGGAAACTCTCACTGAAGCAAATGGCACCTTTGCCATTAGGCTTTTAAAGATACTCTGTCAAGACAACCCTTCGCACAACGTGTTTTATTCTCCCATGAGCATCTCCTCTGCCCTGGCCATGGTCCTCCTGGGGGCAAAGGGAAGCACTGCGGCCCAGATGGCCCAGGTAAGCTGGGCCGTTGCTCAGGAGGGGGACCGGCCTGCACCATGTGTGGGTCAAGAGCTTCACATTCATGCTCCAGAAGTCTGAGGAAGGAGGGCGGCCGCGGTGCCTGTGTGTGCACACAGCAGTTCGACGGAGGGGGACCAACTGCAGGAAGGGAGACAGGGAATTTACTCCACTGAGATTTTCTTCTTTTTTCCGGGGTGGGGAGTTTCCTCAGTTAATAACCTAGAAAAGGCTGTCAAAATCTTATCCTAGCATTTCATCTCTGTTTAGGAAATGATCCTGGAAATGATTTGAAACATAAGTTGCTAAGATCTCTTTTTTGGAGAGACTTTGTGAGGAATACCTGTTTCACTTCATTTCTATACCCAGGTGCCTTCCTAGCTCAGCCAGGGCAGAAACAGAAATATACAAAGGCGGGGTCAGAGGCGTCCCCTTCCTTATGGGCACAGACTGCGAATGCTCTGTTAGCTCCGCTCACCCAACATCCAGTGCACCTCTGAAAATGGTTCAGGCTCGGTCCCTGTCCTCAGGGGTTTCTAGAGAGGGTAGGAGACACCTGCCTGAGATGAAACCTAAAAGCCCCATCGCTAAGCTGGGGCCCCTGAACACACCTTCGTGGTAGGAGAGTTACTCATAGCGGCTCTTTGTTTCAATATGACTTTCTTTTCCCTTGAGGACCGTTTTCAATAATGATGACTCATTTAATCAATTCCCAGCTCACTGTGTGAGTGAGTGAAGGGTTTATGTGCAGAGGGTGTCAACCTAAGTAACAAATGGAGAGAGGCTCTAAAAGAAAAGAAGTTTATTTGGCATACGGCATTGCAGTGGGAATATGCATGCCATAGGAAGCTATGTACATATTCAGGGAGTTAAAGGAAAGCAGATTTTTAAAGGAAAACATGAGGAGGATTACATAATTGTTTTGAAATAATTATCCTTGGCTACGAAGATCAATAACAAAGGTTATGCCAGTTGGAGGTTGGACAGGCAGTTCCTGGGCTGATGTCCTTGTAGAAGTATTTTTTTGTGTAACGATGTGATGGCCTTTGGGCAAAGTTGTGGTTTTTACAGTCTTCTGTGAAGTTTTGTTATCAGGCATACAAGTGTGAGAACTCTCTCTTCATGGCCTTCCCTAGCTCTGTTTGTCAGGGGATTTTTGTTGTTGTTTTAACATTAGTGACACCATTTTGATTCTTTGAAGTTCTTTATGATTAAATATTTATGGTCTTTTTCTGTGTTTTAGGCTCACTGATAAACCCTTATAGGGAGCTTTTTTTTTTTGAGAGCACCAAAATTGGTTGCTTTCTGAGGTACGATATTGAGAGCCGTCCACGCCTCCTAGATACTAACGAAACACTCAGTGTGCTGAGTACATTCTACTTGTAACCTGAAGGGAAGTTGTAATAGCAGCAGAAATGTTTTACCAAATCATTTGTCTAACTTGATTACTTCTGTAAAGAAAAGAAAATAATTTGGTTTTCCTTCATTATATGAGTGGTAAGAGCCAATTTTAAAAAACTACAAAATATCTTAAAAGATGAAAGTAGCAGGGAGGACAGAAATCCTTGTGGCTCCCCCACGCAGAGACAACCACCCTTGATGATGTCAAGCATTTCTTCCAATCCTGTTCCCCCCAGTGTAGCTTTAGCGTGTACACTTGGTGAGCATACTGTGTCTTTACTTTCATAAATGTTCTTTCAATTAATGTGAGGATTCAGTGAGACTATCCGTGTTAAAAAATGCTCAACATATGTTAGCTATTAGTAGTAACAGTGGTATTACAGGCTTAAGTGAAATTGGTCTTAGCTTTCGTTTTTGTTCTATTTTTGACAGGTTTTCTTACCCATAATCTATGAGCTTTATAAAATGAATTTAGTAGCTTTCTTTTTTTCCCCTGTTATAGAACAGTGCGTATTGCATAAGAAATATAAATTTCTTTAATATTAGAAAATGTTAGAAACTGATTCTCTTAAAAGAGCATACCTTTTATGAAATAGTTCTCCATTTTTTTGTTTCTTCATTGTCACTGGTATATTCATATTTTTGACTTTCATTCGGTAATTTATAATCCATACTTTGCTGAAAACAATTCTACATAGTTTCCATTATTTTAACATTTCCTTTGTATCCATTTCTGTAAGCTTTTTCATTTATAACTTTCCTTTGGGGTGCTTTTTGTTATTTTTTTTACATTGCTGGATGGTTGTCTATTTTGTATGTATGTGTGTTTTCTTTTAAAGAACCAGCTTTTGGATCCGTTGACCATTTCCTGTTTTTCTCTAAATTCCTTAGGGATTTTTCTGTGCCTTTTCTTACATCATAAGTTGAAAGTTTTATCATTTCATTACCTAGGTAATATTAAAAACAACTAATGCTATGTTTTTACTTATTTTTGGCCTAACCTTTTGATCTAATATATGTCACTTCTATTTTGATTATTTTGTAAATCATATAGTTATTATACTTAGAAGAGTATCTTTAATAACTATTTAGAAGCATTATTTGTTTAGAAGAGCACTTTAGTTGTTATTTAGAAGAATTATTTATTTAGAAGTGTTTTCAATAGTATTTAGAAGAGTGATTTCCATGTTGGTATGTTATTTAAAATATTGATTTCTAGTTACTATACTGAGGTCAGAGAATATAACCTGTATGATTTTTGTATTGATGGAGACTTTTCTTATGGGCTAATATATGATGGATCATTTTGAAATATTAAAGTAAGATTTAAAAATATATACATATATTGTCTTTCTAGTATATGATTTTAGTAACTATGTTTTAGTCTAATTATTAATCATATTACTATTTTATACCGTTATTTTCTTTTGAATAGTCCTATTATGATTGTATTTCTGCCCATTTTTGGTGCTTTTAACTGCATCTTTTTTTAAAAAAATAAATTTTAGAGGTAAGTTTCCCTCTATTTAGGTCCCATTTTTGCTTCCTTTGGGAGGCAGGGTTTTATCATAGCCCTATTTCTGGACCTCTCTCACCCTTGTCATTTTTGCCTGTGACTCATCTTTAAACAAAAGAGACCATTCAGGCAGAATAGCCAAATCGTTTCCTCACCTGCTTTCTGTGTCTGCTCTGTCCTCTCCACCACCCTGACATTGTCGCTTCTCTAGGATGCATGAAGTACCCCATTCAAATAAAAACAGCCTTCTTTCAAAAGAAAATTTTGTCAGATATTTGAGAAAAAAATTGTGCTTGCAATTTTTTCTGAGACCAAAGCACTTTATTGATAATTTTTGAATTATTTTTCTCAACAGGTGCTTTCTTTAAACACAGAGAAAGACATTCATCAGGGTTTCCAGTCGCTTCTCACCGAAGTGAACAAGCCTGGCACCCAGTACTTGCTTAGAACAGCCAACAGGCTCTTTGGAGAGAAGACTTGTAAATTCCTTGCAGTAAGTGAATCAATAGAACAATAGAAGTTTGTATTCAAAACGCCTGGTGATGTAGAGTCTGTGAGAAAGACTAGAGAAATTGAGAAATTTATGGTAAACTTTTTTTTTAAAAGACCACATTGTATAATTATATCTTGCATTATTTAAAATTTGACTATTCCTAAAATTCATTTCCTGTTATTCAGGGCTAAGTCTGTACCTGTTTACAAACTCTGATATTTTAACATCTAGTAAAATGTCACTTTTTAAGAGATACATATATTCTTTATATTTAAGAAAAGGATAGAATATTTAGAGTTTGGGGAAGCTTGCTGACATCTCATTTAGCCATGCAGCCTCGCTGAACGCTTCTCTCCCTAAAGCCCTTTAAGGAGTCCTGTCTTCAGTTCTATCATGCTGAGCTGAAGCAGCTTTCTTTTGTCAAAGCTGCAGAAGAGTCCAGGAGACACATCAACACTTGGGTCTCAAAAAAGACTGAAGGTCAGAATTACAAGTAATTCCACCCTCCTCCCCAGCCCCACCCCCACCTCTTCCTCCTTCATCTCCCCCTCCTCTCCCTCCTCCCCTTCATCTCCCCTCCTCGCCCCTCCGCTCTCACTGGTGTTTCAGGTGGTCGGAGCGCTGTTGGCTGGCTGGGTCTCATGGCATATTGAACTTTGGTGGACTCATAAAGGTTCTGATCAGATCCTTAGGTTTTCAACAACAGAGATTTAATTTTGTCTATTCTGCCAGGACCAGAGAGTGGCTGATACAAAGGTCAAAAGAAACTCAAGCCAGATTTCCAGTTTAATAACTTACATGAAAACACACTTTCACTGTCCTGTAACGTAAACATGCCGTGTGACTCCATCATCTCTGTGAGGAGGAGACTGTTGGACAGATCTTCCCTGAGTCGTACACTTGGGTCCGTCTTCCTAGATCCTGGGGCCCTCATCACCTTTACCTGTTAAGGTTGCTTCTGTCTCCTTCATGTCTTTCGCTCCAGCTCCCTGAATTAGACTTCATACCTAGACTTGGCTGGTCAACTGAAGACACTCTCTTGGGGCTGATCAGTTCCACAGAATGAAAACGCCCCCTATTTGGGGTTGAAACTTATTTGTTTCCATTTCAGACAGTGACGTGTTCTTACCTTGGCCCCCAAGATCAAGGACAGGCTGATGTTTGAACCATTCAGACTCTTCTGCACCAGTGATGCTTACTTAGTACCACTAGGAATATTTCTATTTCTGTTAATCAATGAGATAGTAAAGAATGAGAGGTAGTCTTCCTTTAAAGATTTTAGCAACTGTTTCCCTCGTTTCATCTTGGAATCTCTAGCCCTCGTGCCTTCTTGAGACAGTGAATTAGCAGGAATGCTCTTAGTTCATTGGAAAGGTACCACTTGATCTCCAGAGGAAGAAGCGGGTATCTTCACCTGCCCACATTCTCTTTTCCGGAGATGCCTGGTGCTTTGTGCAGAGAATCCAGTAGTAATATCTCTTCCAGAGGCTTCCAGAAACTCCCCATGTGTCCCTTGCCAACCGTCTCCCCTTCAAGCCCTCCATTCTGGCTACCTCTGACGTGTCCACGTGTCGTCATGGTGTGTCAGAACTGAGCGTGACCACGGAGGGTTAGATCCAACATCCATTTAACTGTGTGAGATAAATCGCACCCGTCCAGCCCGTCTCTCATATCCCGCTTGTCTTGTTCTCTCCGTCCTGGTGTAGTTTTTATATTCTCTCTGGTTTCCTTGAGTGACTTAGGAGTCTTTCACCATCCTCCACTTGGTGGATGTTCCCAAGGTGCAGTAGCCACGAATACCACTCGTATGTGTCGTTTTTTATTTCTGCACATAACAACCCAAACTCAGCAAACTTGAAAACAGAATGTTTGATTCTCGACTAATAATCTAGGATCTGCCAATACATTGTATCACAGTTTATTAATCAGATTTTTATTAAAAAGACAACTGAATGCAGTCTCTACTTTTCTTGAAAGGTAAAATTGAAGAGTTGTTGCCGGGTAACTCGATTGATGCACACACCAGGCTGGTTCTTGTCAACGCCATCTACTTCAAAGGAAGGTGGAACGAGCAGTTTGACAAAACATGCACCAAAGAAATGCCTTTTAAAATAAACCAGGTAGGGGGGAGCCTTAAGAAATCGTGCTAGTTTGATAAAGAAATTAAATGGAAAAGTTTGACTTTGTAAGTGCATAAATGACTGGTTAAAAATAATTTGAAACTTAACATATTTCTGAATGAATTTTTACACTCAGTAGAAAAAATTTAAAGAATAAAAGGTATTTGTTGCCTATAATTTTTTGCATTTCATCACTGCTCTTACCACCTCTGGTAATTTCCCAGAAACCATTGCTGACACCTAGTGCTGGAAACTAAAGAGTCTCCTTTAAGCTCAAGTTGCTTGGCTAGAAAGCAAGAAAACAGGCTGAGGTGGTGTGATATGTATTGGGGGGGGGTAGACGGAGAGAATGTGAAGACACATTTCTTTATTCAGTTTTCTAAAAAGTTAAAATAAGTATTGATTTCAATTGTTAATTAAATTATTATCATTAATTCAGTACTTACAGCTTTCTAATAATAAAACTGAGTGACAAAGACCTTCGTCTTGACATCAAAGCAAAACTTCAATTAAACCAAGCATTAGAATAAGTTTCCCAAGTCCTCCAGCCTCTAAAAAATACCATTTTAATGCAATTAGAAAACTTGTACAAGTAACAACCTGGCCCCTCCTTTTTTAATAAGGTGTACTTCAGATAACTGTTAAGAGAATCAATTCTCTAGTTGCAAAGGTAGGGTGAGAAGGAAACTTTTTCTAACATTGATTTTGTAACTATTTTAATTTGTATAATAGATGGTCTATATCCATTTTTAAAAATTGATTTAATAAATTTAATAGTTCAATTCACTTCTGCAATCATGTACTCTTCCGTATTTTTAAAAAATTATTTCCTTAGAACAGAATATTAGAATTGAAACAATTGGGTTAAAATACATGAAGATATTTGTGGTCCTTTATTCTGTCTGAGGGGACGTATCCATCTATACTACCAGTCACACCACTGTGAAACTACAAATTTCATCCCACTTCATACAATTTTTTTCTAATTAAATAAAATAATTTTCTATTTAATTTCAAATTGTTTCCTTTGGATATATTGGTGGAGCATACTTTAAATGAGGAAAATCTGCCTTCTTCCTCTGGAAGATGCAGACCCACGTTTTATTTTGTCGAATAAACCTTTCCCAAGCTAGTCCTGTGTCTGCTTCCAGCGAAGGCCTGCTGATAGAAGGAGCTGCTGACATTTCTGCGTTCACTGCAGCGCGAGCACGGTTTCCATCGCGCGGCTGGGAACAGCCCTGGGGGCGAGTGGCGCCCCTGGGAAGTTCTCACCGCCTTTCAGTGGTGTGCTTTAACCCGCCAGGAGGAGCAGAGGCCGGTGCAGATGATGTTCCAGGAAGCCACGTGCAAGATCGCCCACGTGGGCGAGGCGCGCGCGCAGGTGCTCGAGCTGCCCTACGCGGGCGCCGAGCTGAGCCTGCTGGTGCTGCTGCCCGACGACGGCGTGGAGCTGCGCTCGGTGAGGCCCCCACGCGGCCGCGGCCTCTGGCTTCTCGCTAGAATGGGGGCTGGCAAACAGCAAACCCTGTAATGTGACCCGTGACTGTAGCCATTATTAGCATTACACTTTAAAATCTAAAAAAAATCTCTGAAACGGAGAATGAGGAAGTCTGGACTTTGCACTTAGCACGGCTGGGTGGGGGGACGGCGGCCCCCAGGTGCGGTGCGAAGCCCAGCGCTCGGCTCCGCCCTCCTGGCTTCCCGCCAGCGTGATCCCCAGGGCGAGATCCCCATCCCCCAAATGGCAGGAGTGCAGCGCGGGGCCTACTCCGTCCGCCTCCCTAACTGTGACCCCTCTTCTCCAGAAACCGCAGCAAGATCCCCCCTGGGGTAGATTCCGCTCCTGGGGTGACTCACGCCAAGAGCCCTTTCTTTTCCAGTCTTTTTCCTTGCCAGCGATGGTTTATTGTCTTCAAGAATAAGCATAGTTTAAAAGAAAAAGGCATAGTCATCTGGGCACTGACATTTGTCAGAGTGAAAGATGTCTTGGAAGTTGTTGGGTAAGGCGAGGACAGCCACAGACTTTCCCCGCTAGGCTGCCTGGTGTCCCCCTGTGTGTGGAACAGCACATGGGACAAGAAGGGGAGCTCGCCAGCTCCCTGGCAGATGCGTGAACAGGCCACGCCCGTCCGCGGGGGAGGGAGGGTGCGGTGCGCGGGTGTGCCGTGCGGTGCGCGGGTGTGCCCTGCGGTCTGCATCTGAAAGTCTGATTCTGGCCTTTCAGGTGGAGGAAAATCTCACTTTTGAGAAATTCACAGCCTGGACCAAGCCAGACTCAATGGAGAGTACAGAAGTTGAGGTTTTCCTTCCAAAATTTAAACTGCAGGAGGATTACGACATGGAATCTGTGCTTCAGCGTTTGGGAATGGTAGATGTCTTTCAGCGGGGCAAGGCTGACTTGGCAATGTCGGCGGAGAGAGACCTGTGTCTGTCCAAGTTTGTGCACAGGAGTTTGGTGGAGGTGAACGAAGAGGGCACAGAGGCCGCGGCGGCCTCGGCCATGCTGGTTGTGGAGTGCTGCATGGAATCCGGGCCGCGGTTCTGCGCCGACCACCCCTTCCTTTTCTTCATTCGGCACAACAAAGCCAACTGCCTTCTGTTCTGCGGCAGGTTCTCATCTCCATAAGGGGCGTGCACTCCACGAGGGGTGCACTTACTGTGCACACCGGAGCTTCCCCCTTTGAGTGTCCCCAGGTGCCCCTCTGCAGCTCCGTGAGGATGGGCCGAGAAAGCTGAGTGCAAACGTGAGGGCAGAGTCCTCACTGACATCATGCTCCACACTGCGCGTGCGCGGGCTGCTCATTTATGCCTCTTAGCCATGGTCTTGCAGTAATAGAACAGACCTCAATGATCCTCTGCTGTATTCAGAATGTATCCCAAATAGCAGAGGATGGCATGCAAAGTTTTTCTGGAATTCCACTTGCAATTCACTTTAGTTCACTGTGCTTTCCTGGTACTTCAAAACTTGTTGCATACTTGCTTTAACCTGACTGTCTCAATAGCCACAGATGCTGCTAGGTAGTACTACTGTTTTATAGTTTTCCTGGTGCTTGGACTTTTAAAAAAGTTTCTTTAATGCACATTTATATTTTATCTTTCACTTTTACCAATCACCAAGTATGTGCCAAACACTGCATTAGGTACTTGGGGATGCAAAGGGGAAAAAGTCATGGTGTTTGTTTTGTTTTGTTTTTTTGAGACAGAGTCTCACTGTGTTGCCCGGGCTAGAGTGCCCTGGCGTCAGCCTAGCGCACAGCAACCTCAAACTCCTGGGCTCAAGCAATCCTCCTGCCTCAGCCTCCCGAGTAGCTGGGACTACAGGCATGCGCCACCATGCCCGGCTAATTTTTTCTATATATATATATATTTTTTTTAGTTGTCCAATTAATATCTTTCTAATTTTAGTAGAAGACGGGGTCTCGCTCTTGCTCAGGCTGGTTTCGAACTCCTGAGCTCAAACAGTCCTCCTGCCTCGGCCTCCCAGAGAGCTAGGATTACAGGCGTGAGCCACCGCGCCGGGCCAGTCATGGTGTTTTGACGCTTGGTCTTTAATATCTGTGCCTAACTTGTGTAGCTTTTACAATAACCAGATTGGACTAGGTAATGTCTTTAAACTTACCCTTTCAGGGATCACAACTTTCTTCATGTTACCGTATTTGTCCACCTCTAACAGTAAAAATTCCATTCAACTCTGAAAGCTCATTTCAAATGCCTTATTTAAGAAACTTCTCATTTTCTCCATAACCAGATGCACATCTTTGAATGCCCTACTCTCACGGCGGTAGCTTTATTTATTAATTTTTCTGTGTACTTCGGAAAGTCCCCTCACGAGGCCGTATGTTCGCCAAGCACTGGGACTACAGAGCATACGTACATAGTCCCGCTATACACAGTTCCGCTCAGCGTGCCGCTTACAGTGCAGTAATAAGTAAGTTGATCACAGATGAGCCATGTTACATTTTTTAGTGGCTAGATATTACTGACTTCGCTGGTTTTCCTTTTTAGAATCTTTTTTATTGAGGTGAAATTCCTGTAACATTAAATTAACCATTTTAAAGTGAACAGTTCTGTGGCATTTAGTATGTTAACAATGTTGTGCAATCACCACCTTTGTCTAGTTCCAAAAAATTTTTCACCACCCCACAAGGAAAGCCTGTACCCGTTAAGCAGTCACTCCCCAGTGTCCCCTCCCTCCAGCCCCGGTAATCACCAGTCTGCTTCACTGTCTCTGTGGACGTACCGATTGTGGGTACTTCATATAAATTGAATCCTATATAACCTTTTGTGTCTAGCTGCTTTCATTTAGCTTCAGTTTCTGTGGTTCATTTAGGTTGTAGCTTGTATCGATCAGTATTTCATTCCTTTTTACGGCTAAATAATTTTCTCTTATGTGATTGTAGCACAAACTGTTTATCTACTCATCCATCGATGGGCATTTGGATTGTTTCTGCCTGTTGGCTATTGTGATAGCGCTGCTATAAACATCCGTGTACGTGTATTTGTCTGAATACCTGTTTTCTATCTTTTGGGTATATATCTAGGAGTGGAATTGCTGGGTCATATGGTCATTCTATGTTTAACTTTTTGAGGAACAGCCAAACTGTTTCCCACAGTTGCTGAACCATCTTACATTCCCACCAGCAATGTGTGGGAGTTCCAATTTCTCTCCATATCCTCACCAACACTTATTATTTTTCTTTTCCTTTTTTAAAAAATATGTTATGGCCATCCTAGTCAGTGTACAGTGGTATCTCCTTGTGTTTTTTACTAGCATTTCCTATGTAGGAGTTAGAAAGTACGATGCAAACCAGGTGAGACATCCACTCTCGTGGACAGGTGATGCTGAGGGAAAAAGCCGTGGCAATGGGCACACAGTTCAGCACCTTTTATGTAAATGATGAACATCTGCAACATTGTGTATTACACAAAGATACACGCCAGTTGCATTTCTTTTATTATTGGTGAAAGCTTTTTCATGTGTTTATTGGTTCTTGAATTTCCTCTTCTATGAATTGTCCACACACCTGCTTTTCTGTGTGGTGGTTCATTTTATTAATTTTTACATATCTCTTTGCCTGTTAAAGATATTATCCCCCTCTTATATTTTTTACTCATTCTGTTACTGGCTTTTAAATTTTGTTATGATGTTTTGTTAATAAATGGTTTTTTTTCTTCCCCTGTAGTCAAATCTAGGTTTTTCCCTTTGTGATTTCTGATACTGCTTTCATTCTTAGAAGTACTTTCCCATTGAGAAAGTAGTTAAATCGTCAGTTATTTTTTATTCTAAACTTTTATTGTCTTAAATGATTTAACTATTTCATCCATGTGGAATTTGTTTTTGCATTATTGACATTCAGGAGAAAACATAATTTGATTTACAAATAGCCAATTTTTGGATATTATTTGTAAAATAATACGTTTTCCCCAAGGTTCATACCTGTTTTTTCATCTTTATTCTTCCAGATGATCTTCAGAATAATTTTTCAATATCAAAAATTTTTTTTAACTGGGATTTTTTTGGGGGGGAGGGGTTAGCATGACATTAAGCAAAACATTACTTGGGTAAATTGATCTATTTACAATGTTTAGTTTTCTCATTCAGGAAAATGAGAGTAGTCTCCATTTATTCAAATCCTTTTAAGTATATTTTTATTAAAACCTCTTTTAAATGTTTTTTTTTTTTTTTTTGCCCCACACAGTTTTTGTTTTTCTCAGTATGGTTATTTCTAAATTTTTTTGTCCATTGTAACTACTGTAACCAAGAGCATTTCCCCCTACCTGGTTATGGTAGCATATAAGTAAACCTCTGAAATTTATGCATTTATCTCTTGTATGACCAATTTGGTGTACTCTTTTGGTAGCTTAAGAGTTTTCAATAAATTCTCTTGGGGTTTTTGCTATATGGTTACATGATAGCCAAATGATCTTTATTAGATATGTAATTATCTGTACAAATAAGAGAGAGAACATCCTTCTAATTATTGCACCTCTTGTTTCTGTTTTCTGTTTCTTTTTTGTTTTGTCTTTGTCCTTTTTGCATTACCAGGCTTTCTGAGACAGGGTGTGCGATCATCATGGGCACTCCTGTGCTGCTCTTTGTTTTAATTTAGGCTGGTAATATCCAGTATTGGGGCACACATGAGAAAACGGGCACTGTCACACTGTGCGGGAGTGTGGATCAAGGCTTTTGGGGGGAATTGATCAGAGTCTTTCAATTTTAAGTGAATATTCCTTTTGGACTGGTGTTTGCACTTATAAGTGCCTGATCCACAGAAATATCTGTATACATGCTTAGCTATATTCCAAGTTTTTCTCTGCAGCATTTGAAAATATATATAAATATAATATGTAATATAAAATATAAGGCAGTTTTACAGAGTTATTTTTATTTTTTTATAATAATGGTGGTGAAATATATAAAATTTACCGTCTTAACCATTTCTAAGTATACAGTTAGCATTAATTTGGAATAGCAAAAAAAAGGAAAGGAAAGGAAGAAGGAAGAAAGGAAAGAAAGGAGGGAGAGAGAGAAAAAAGAAAATGAATAGGAATTAGTTCAGTTTTATTTTTCCCTTAATAGGAGAAAAATTTAATTAATTTATATCATGGAATACTATGCAGAATTTTTTAAAAAAATTTATGCCTATATCTTCTGTAAAAGATCATGAAAACAAATTAAGTGAAAAATGTAACTTGGAATACAATGTGTATAATGTGATCTCATCCATGTGTACAAAAGCCTGCATATGTATATGTAAATTTATGTATGCAAATCCCTGGGGAAAGGTTTAAAAGGCTACACCCTTCACTGCTAACAGAGGTTATCTCAGGCATACGTTTGGGGAAGGGGATGTGGGACGAAAACTTCCATTTTTTGCTCTCCATGTTTCTGTAACATTTAAATTTTTAATAAGGAAAATCTAATTCTGTAATCTGCACATAATTTAAAGAAAGAAGAATTCCAGGATACAACCATATGTATGATACTGAGTGGCACGGTATTGAAATTGAAATAAAATCCATATAAACAGTTTTTCAAAATATTTTTTTATCCTTGGTATTTACAAGAGTTTTTAATGACGATGGCAGTTGAACATTGACCTTCCTCTTTTCTCAAGTTAGGCTTATTTCCATCTTTTCCTATGTTTAAGAGTCATCTTTATTTCCTGTTTTGTGAACTGACTTCAAATAATTTGGCCATATTTTTTCTCTAGGGTTGTAGGTCTATTATGTATGGATGAGTAGGAGCATTTTATATATTAAAGAAATTGAATCAATTATGGAGGCACGTACCTGTAGTCTCAGCTACTCCAGAGGCTGAGGCAGGAGAATCCCTTGAACCCAGGAGTTTGAGGCTTTAGTATGCTGTGGTAGCACTTGTGAATAGCTACTGCATTCCAGCCAGGACAACGTGGCAAGACCCCATCTCTAAAAAGAAAAAAGAAATTCACCATTTGTCTATGAAATGAATTATAAATATGTTCCTAGTTTGTTATTATTTACCTTGTTTATGGTGTTTTCACCATGTAAAATTAAGAGTTTTATGTATTCAAATTTATCAATCTTTTATATTCCAGGTTTTGTGAATGCTTATTCCTTACTGAGACAACTGTAATGTGGTTTGTGCTTCACGTTGCATTAAATGATCACAAACACCCCACCCTCCTTGTTCCTAAATTCAATAAGAACTGATTTCTCAGCCTGTCTTATTTGACACTGTTGGAGACTTCTTCCTCAGAACATGTTTTGCCTTGGGTCCTGCCGGATCTTCCACCTTCCTGGCCTCTCTTGCTCAGTCTCATTGTCCCACTCTTTCCCCTGTCCATTCTTTAAATGTTGCCGTCCCTTGCAGGGCTGGCCTGGGTCCTCACCCAAGCTGGTCCAGTTCCTACAGTGGCCTGACTGCCAGCCAGAGCTGATGAGCTTCAGGCCGGGCTGTTCAGCTGGGATCTCCCTCTTGAGCTCCAGACCCACTTCCCTAGTTGCCCACTCCAGCCCTCCAAGTACCCGAGAACCTCTATGTCAACGTACCTATCCAAAGCTGAGATCACTGCCCACCTTCCCAACCCTCCTACT